TATATTTGAGTATATTATTTTTCAAAGTGTCAGAAATGGATAACAAAACTGCTATTTTCAATGACTACTTATTTTTGTCCAGCTTAACCATCGGTATCGATATCGGTTATCGGCTACATGAGTTTTAAAATATCGGCATATCGGTTATCGGCCAAAATCCCAATATCGTGCATCCCTAGTCCACACCTTTGAAATGGGGGTCGTTTGGCTTCTTTTGTTAGCCTGCAATGCCCCATACCCGTCTATGTCTCTGAAAGGGGGGTTGTTAAAAGGAATTGTTGGTCTGGCTGAATAGGCGAGGTCTTCTCTTCCCCTGTAAAGGGGTTGCGATGATAGCGGGAAGGGATTAAATCAATTGCTGCATTGTAGGTTTTTGAAAGCTGAAATCTGAGTCCACCCCATCTGTTTAAGGTTGGTTTGTCTTTCTTAACATGGATGGCTTCCTTTACGCCACTCTTAAACTATTCTCTTTGTTGAAAATGTGAACATTCTGGTCCTTAAAAGAATTCCCTTTGTCTTGAAGGTGTAGATGGACACCAGAGCCTTGTCCCGAGGAGACTGCTTATCTGTGTTGGGTCATGGGTCTGTGGAGAGGTTGTTTGCTTTCTCCACTCACTGCATCGAACTGCATACATCACTCCGCTCATATTTGGTCAGGCGGTTTTGTCCTTAGGATGCAATACACCCTGTGTAAGGGTCTTGTTTGGTTTGAAATGTACTGGGATTTTGTGTTTGTAGAATAGGACTAAACCCCCAAACCAAATTTGAGTGGAAAACAGGTGCTACTCAGTTTGTTTCAGATTGACCTTCATGGGAATATTACATATATTCACAATGAAAGAGAGAAGATAATCTAAGTATGCTTACGTTTTGTTACAGTGTCAGCAGTTGTCAGCCTCATGCGGTGTCCATGACAGCTGAGGTCCACCAGCTGTGCAATAATTGCCGTCTTTCCAAAGCCCATGTTACCAGTGATTACGATGCCCCTGTTGGTTGTTGGGTGATTGCTGCGCAAACAGGTGTAAACTTCCTGGAAGAGCCACTCTCTACCTGTGAAGAGGCGATTCGACAGCAGGCCGGGAACCTCGAAATGGAGCGGTTTCAGGTTTAGAGACGGAGTAAAATCAACTAAGGAAGGATAGAAAGTAAAAGGTTGACATTATTTCCATTTAAAAATGTTTTACCAGCATATTACCAGCATCTCTACCTATGTGGTCCTGCTGACCGCCACGCCTAGAGTTCTGTCTTGCCATTCGAAGTAGCCTCTTCGGGGGAAGATTCCTGTGCTGTTCATCAAGATAGCTTAGATCTTCAAGGCGGGCTGAACCTGTGGCTGGATGGAAAGAAAATGTTTAATGCTAAGGTGAAAACAGATAGAAGTAGTTTGGCTGTAAAAATATCACTGTTGTGTCAGGTGTTTTTTATAATCTTTTTTAAACACACTTTTGTACAATACCTTTAAAAGCTTTCATGCACTTTGAAATATAAGGATTTTTAAAAATCTTTGGACATCCAGTAATTTAATCTGGCCTCTTCTTTGTAAAATAGGCCAAGCTTAGTCAGACTAGATAAGAGGATTTCGGTAAAAAAGAAATTTCAAGTCTTGCCACAAATTTCTCACAAATTCCAAGTCTTAAAGGTCCCATTTTATTCTATATTTAAAATAATGAGGCCCCAAAATGCATTTTTGTCATTTGTGCAGAAAAATACCTCTCAGGTTAGGCAGACAGCCTCTATCAAACATCTCCCTATTCAGCACTCCTCTAGATGTACTGTGTTGGCTTTCCACACCATGGTCCTCCCAAAGGCCACGCCTCCACAACCCGCAACCATGACAACAAGTAAGATAGCATAGGATCGTGGAATAATACATAAGATGATGGCCAGTGATTAACTGATTGGCAGCTACAACCAGCTCCCGACAGCTTATTTCCCCTTATAATGTCATAAAGGGCATGATTTTTGAGCATACATTAGCTAAGAGGCT